TTTTTGCATGATTTTTTACTATTCAATTATTCAAAATTCTGGTTCTCGGCCGTTACTGCCTGGATCGATCTACTTTCTTCGCAGTACGTTATAACAAAATCAAATTAATAAAATACGTACAGTTCCGCTGAGTTTCACTTACAAATACACTATTTGATATATGATGCTGTATACAAAAAATATGCTTTCAATGGTTTCTTTTGCATTTGTTCTACTTGTTTTCCGCGCACTGGCGGCAACGACCTGAAAGAAGTTAATGCTCTGCCCCCCCCCGTCGACGTTTTTGGGAGGTGAGTGTCCGGCACTACCACCTTCACTTTTGGCCGGCCAGTGGTAGCTGAAACCACCTTCACTTTTGGGGGGCCCGGCTCCACCTATCGCACCTCTGGCCTACACGCTGGAACGGTATGTTATGCAAAATTGCAGCGTCGCGACTGAAATCACGTGAAGTATGCCCGGCCCTTAAACGCATAGCATTTGTTCCTTTGCGAAAAAGTTTTTCTACTCAAAATTACCGATCGTACGTGGAGATGCTTCAAGAATGAACCGTTCTTCACGATTCATTTGTGATGTTCAGCATCATTTGGTGAGTTTTAAAGTCATCATTATGCAAACATGAGAAAGGCTTACGTATGGGAGAGCGGCGCACTGGTTAGAAGATAAGTTCTTCTAACCAGTGCGTTTTCTGCAGAGGATTTGGTTTACCAGCTATTCATTTTTCGATATTTGTAATTTTTCTTGGAAGCTCTTGGCAGCTGTTACCATATATTAGGTTGGTGCAAAAGTAATGCGCGTTTTTCTAGCCCTTGTTTCAAGAAAGCTTTTCTCGATCAAAATTTCTCCTTTGAAACTTACCCAGCATACTATCAAGAAGCTTCTTTCATGCTCTATTCAGTGGTGTTTGAAATAAGCTTCTAGCCTCATTCTTTAGAAATTTCTAGAGCTTCATACAACCGCAATCAAAATCAGAATTTCATTGCACTTACTTTTTTGGCCAGAATTTCAGCGCGAGTAAACGCATTCTCTTGAAAATATAACTGCTGTATCTAGTAGAATTTTTCTACGTTATGCATACTTTGCTGTTTTCTCAGAAATCATTTAGACTGGAATTTCTGCGCCTCAACATGAGTGATGATTATGACCATTCTGTGGCCCATAGATTTCCTTTGAAGAAGGCAATCGCCAAAGTTTCGCTCATTTCTGTAAGCGTAAGAGTGGACCTTGACGGTTTTTCAGAAATGTGGAAGCTGTTCAGTACACAGAAAATCAAAAATCTCCATATTTTGGGATTTTGAGGGCTACGAAAAAATGTCGAAAAAAGCGGGCAATTTTGAATATTATTTTTTCACTTTCGCGCTTCTTTGTTTGAGCTCCTTTCAACTTTTTTTCGTACTACTGGCTTGCGGCTACAAGACAGTCAACTTTTTATTTATACCGGCAAATCTTGAAGGAAGTTATGATCAGTTAAAAACGAGGTTTCCGAAATAAATTTTTTTGCTTATCAATCCATATTTTTCCACCGTTTTGTGATGTTAGCACAAATTAGTGTGCGCTGTATAGAGAGTAGTTTGATGCCTCTGACGGACTTGACCGCACTGAAAAATACGGATTTTTTAGAAAGTTATAGCACGTCAAATTGGGGACTCGCAAAACGCGCATTACTTTTGCACCAACCTAATATTATGCAAAATCGTGACTTGATACGTTGACCGCAACTCGCTCTATTTTCGTGGCAGACAGGCAAACATACAGACGCTGAGCGCTTTATTATAAGTCATGATCTGGACCTTTCGGAGATACTATACCGCTTCTACTGTTGCTTGCCAATAACCAACAGTGCCAATTCTTCGACCAAAAATGTGCAAATTTGAAGAGCCTTGACCACATTGCTTGGTTTTCCAGTTTTGTGCTCGCATAGAGAGCAAAATTTTGAACTACTAGGATCCAAAGTTAGGTTCACCAGACGCCCTAATTGGTATTTCTCAGCTGTCTCGAAATCCCACCAGCAGACTGGAAGGCTTAGCGCTTCAACTTTCACGAACTAATAAGATGTGTTACCAGCTTGGAACGCCGCATCGCGTGTATGCCATGGGCTTGAGGCCGAAGTGGTAGAAAAAAATGTGCCTCTCGACTAGCTATCATTTGCTGAAGAGAAAATAAACGTACTTCTTGCAGGCGCCGATGAGCGTAAATGAAACATCATTCCGCATTCTTTGACACTTGTATTCAAGTCTTAACAAGGTTTGATTTTACGGCAAGAATAAAAAGGCAAGGTTCTTTTGTAAGCACCCCACTGGCAAGTATATTGCTTCTGCAATGGAACAATGAGAACCGGTCGGGCATACTTCACGCGATTTCAGTTGCGGCGCGATTTGGCAATATTCCAAATGTCCATAACTCACTGTAAACACATTTTTAATGTACAGAAGATAGGGTATACACACTATGCATGTGCAGTTTGCCAGTATTGGATCTGCGCGTGAAGTGTGCTCGGCCCTTAATGCGTCTTTATGGAGGCCTCAAGACTTTTAGGCCTCGGGACAGAGTTCACGCGATTTGATCGTCGCGATTCAATCGCTGCGATTTCCATCTATTCTCATTTTGCATTCAAAAATTTCGGGCTGGAAAAGTGTCACAAATGAAATGCAAGCTGATCGGCATGCAATGAACTCGTAACGGTTATCTTGTCGCGATTGAATCGCGACGATCAAATCGCGTGAACTCTGTCCGAGGTCTTAGACAGAGTGGCTATTACAACTTGACCAAAGTTCGTTTCCTTACCAGTCGAACATTATTGGCTTGTAGCTGTAATAAGCCAAATGCGCTCATTTTTTCGATGGAGAAAGAACAATAGTGAGAAGGGTTCAAATTGATCCTTTTGACCCTGCTCCAAATTTGATACACATTCCTACTGTTGCAACTATTCCCTTTTGACCTAAGGCACTGACCATAGGTACAGCGATTTCATTGTAGCGATTTCATCGCCGAAGCCATTCGTGATTGTAGCACGAAATCGCGACTACCAAATCGCTCATCGCGAGTTCTAGCCATACCGCCCAACGATTGGGTGCAATTACACATATTAGCACATCTACTACGTACTGTTACGTCGTTCTGCTTATGACCATCATAATCACGCTTCCTTTCCACTTACAGCACTTTTCATGGAAAGTTCAAGTGCCTACGATAAAGTTAAACTTTTGAAAGATATTACCAAAAGTTTACTTGCAAAAACATTCGAAGCGGTAACGCTTGAAATTGTTCCAGTCTTTTTATGTTCATCTCTGGAAAATCAGAATTTAGTTCAGCCGTGATCAGGTATTCCTATTTCTGCAAGGTTTGGAGCAACGATCCTTCCCAAACGTTGGTTAGGATGTTGAGCAATTAGTTGCGAAGTCAGAGTCCATAAGGTTCTTTCAATTTATCTGATTCCAAGGACTTACTTACCTCTTCTATTCTTGCTGGATAGAACATTGCAATTGTCTAGACTATGATTACAACCTCTGGCGATCAGAGCAACAAAACTTGCAATATTTTATATCATATCCTCTTTGAGATCAATACACGTCACAAACTGAATCTCTTTTTCAAATGCAGAAGTAAGACGAGATGCAAACATCAGCAAAGATTAAGAGAAATGGTAGATAGAGTTTTGAGTAATGGTGATTATGATGGGAATTTGAAATGCTTCAGAACCACTCTTTCTGAGTCACTAGTTTCCGCTCGTGGGATGCACCATGCATTCTTCTACTCCACTGTTAATTCAGTACAGGTGGTGAAATGAGGTAGAAAAACCTGTGCATTGGAGCTTGAACAACCTCAGCGTGTGCTCTGTTCAGCTTTACTGTTTGCAGGCATGGGAATCACATATGTAAGTGCGTTAGTTATCTCCACTTTTCGTGACGAACGTTAGGGAACGGCCATAGGTTGTCGACAACGGTTGTCGAGGTTGTCGAGGTTGCCGAGGTTGTCGGGTTGCCTGGGTCAGAGACAGCGAGACGCGAAACGTGGAGGGCATCATGAGGTGCTACGACCGGCAACCTCGACAACCCCAGCAGCGCCGACAACCTTGGCAACCTAGACAATCGTTGCCGGCAACCTAAGGCCGTTCCCTTACATATGCAAGCTGGCATAGGCTTCGTGGTCACAAGAGCAGCTGAGTTTGCGGCCACTGCACCACCTAAATTGCCACAGGCCTCAAATCAATTGAACAGTGCGTCTCCCCAAAATCGTTTCGGGCAATTGAAAGCAACTTCCGAAAACAAAAGGCGTTTGAAGAAAGAAAGACAGTTAGAGAAGCTCCTTGTGCGTGCAGTGGCCGCAAACTCGCTGACAAGGATGAGTTCCCAAGTTAGCTCGGCCAATCCGGATAAGTCATACCTCATCGTAATGCGCTTGGAACGCTGATTCTAAATTTGCTTTCCTTTTCTGCGGAACAACTCTCCTTTGGAAGTTATGAGCGTTTGAAAGTCTAAATTTGTCATATTTAAAGGGGCCTAAAATTAACTAAAAGCGTTAAAAGACCTAGCCAATTTTCACTGGCTATGTTCCGCCCTTATAGTCAGTATAATTGATACACAACCTGATAACGCACATTCAAATGTTATTGTACAGCTTTCGCCAATTTTATGCCACTTAAGACTTGACAAATTTGGACTTGCAAATGCTCATAACTTCGTTCGGAAATTTGTTCCGCATAAACCGAAAGCAGATTAGGAATAAGCGTTTCAAGCCCGTTACGGTGATATATGACTCATACGGGTCGGTCGGCCGAGCTGACTTGGGAACTCTTCCTTGTGAGTCTCGCGATCAATCAGCGCCCTATAATTGGTAGTCCATGTGTAGAAGGATGTCCTCCAAATAAAGGAAACGGCAACGAATCAAACGAAGAACCAAATGACGCAGCACAAGTATCAAAAAAAATGATTCTACTTGTTACTGACTTCTTATGACATTACAGTTCATATCGCAGCGGGAATTGACTTAAGGATTGAGAACCGTCACTGCTTGAATACCTGAAAGCAAATGGTAGCGAGTTCTACCTCAGTGTTAGTTCCACTAGAAGCTGAAATTACCACATTGAGTCAAAGAACAGCAGCTCTACCTACTTTCTGAAAAGGAGCTCCCTCCTCGGGATTTGAACGCGTCCGCATCCTTACTGGTCGGTGTGGAATAGCACTAGAAAGGGCAGAATATAAGGCTGCTGACCAAACTGATTTCACAAAATCCACTACACATACGGTGAGGATCGCATCAGATGTTCAAGACGCCTCTCAGAAGAATGGCAAATAGGAATCCAGATGGAACATATTTCGTACAACACCAAATACTGATCAACTTACTAGAAAGCCGTGACTCACCTCTTTGTTTTGCGATTGCTCCTGGAATTATAGTTACTTGCTAGCTGACATTGATACGCAGGGATAAGAAGATCGACAATGAGCCTAGAATAAGAATACTCAAGTCTCGAAAAGCAACTGTGCAGTTTATGGTAATCTTACCTAAATTCGTTTTGACTGACGAGATTGCAACATACCCAATATAACAAGCACTCGTTTTGTCGACGCCTTCAATTCAGTCTTCTCGATTACTTCCCTCGTGATTTTGCCACCTGCACTGATGACAAGCTTTTTATGAATATCGTAAGTTCTTCACGGTAATGATCATAGGAAAGAAAACATCACCCTTGACGGAAGGACAGCTCTTTTGGAATCGAGGTCGGCGCGAATACCTGTGCTGTAAAACCAAAACTCAGAAGTGTGGCTGTGACATTGTTTGGAAAAACCTCTTTGCTATTCATACTGCTAAACTTTTGAGGCCGCTTCAATTCATCCTTGTCTCTGAGACTTCACCGAAAATCATCTCTCGCGCTTTGTCCCCGTCCGCTAAAAGCGTTTACCATTTTATATTTGGACTTCGCAAAAGCTCTCCACAGTAGAGAACCAGGCGTCAAGTACGACCTCTGACCAGAGTTCACCAATGTATAAAAAACAAATTTATTTACCATGACCAACTTATTAAGGTAAAATTGAGTAGCTTACCATCAATATGATGTACCACTCTTTACCCTAAAGGTTTTTAAAATGAGATTACCTTTCTTCCATTTCCTGTGCGGGCGTAATTTTGAATTTCGCGCGCGGGTTCGCACCTGAACAATAACATACTAGACAATTTACATTCAGAAGATAGTAAGGCAGGAAGTCTAAGACGAACAAGAAATAAGTTGTTCTTAGGAGAGCCTGTTGGTCGCTGCCGATTCTCCGGAAATTCGGGCATTCCCAGTCCTTTATATTACAGCCGTCCTCCGCTTGGTTTGAAAGTAGAGGCACTCTTGAGACGCCAGAAACTGGATAAGTTGCTCCTCTTCAGCGCAATCTAGCAACTTTCTTTCCGTACTTTTCATGACGTGAGAAGCCTTTTCAACTTTGTTTTGTTCTCTCAGTTTTGAAGAAGAAAGTTCACTTGCAATGACGCCAAGTCAATTGTTACCCTTGAAGATGAAAAAAAACGCTTATCACTGAGGACAACCCTACAATGGTATTTTCGCTTTATCACGACAAATGTGATAGCTCGGACCACAAGTGTCTAGCGAACATTGTAGAGTTTGCACATTTGCCCGCTCGTTTCTCACATGCTGCATGTTTTTTCTCGAGCATTTTCTTGAATGTATTTGTATGGCCCTCAGCAGAAGAATTTAGATGTGGAACATCGTTTCCGACAGTAACGTCAGTTGTTGGGGGACTCTTTCCAATTTCGAACGATATTGTTTTCCATAGAGGATATAGAAAAGTGACTTGAATCATACAGATATGGGTTTGCGTTTGTACAGAGTTTCACTTGTGCTGCCACGCGGGCTCGTTGGCGATTACCTCAAACTTGAGTAGTTAAACTTTCATCATTAATAAGTAACAAATACAAAACGCGGAAACAATATACAGAGGTAATCGGTGATGAGTTGGTAAGTGAGATCTGAGAACATTATAGTCAGTAACATGAAACTGTAGGTTATCTAACAACTACCTCACTACTAGCTATACTTGTAGGGTTAGGTAACTACTACGTGTTAACTACCACTACGAATACACTAACCCTACGCCTATACTTGTAACTACTACTACTACTACTACTACTACTACTACTACTACTACTACTACTACTACTACTACTACTACTACTACTACTACTACTACTACTACTACTACTACTACTACTACTACTACTACTACTACTACTACTACTACTACTACTACTACTACTACTACTACTACTACTATTACTATTACTACCCAGAAGACTTGTAAACAAATGGCGATCACGCTCGAATTGTCCGCTATTTCTACCCCCTCTGGGGTCAAAGTTCAGATCGTGGTCGATGATCTAGATCAGCGCTGTCTAAATTGTAGTTCTGCTGCAACAATCGCGCGGAGTCGTGCAGTTGCTTCAGCTCATTGCAGTTGCAGCAACAATCTTGCGACTGTAGCTGTGAAGTAGTCGCCAATAGTGACAGAGAATGCATAAAGTCCATTGAAATGACTACATTCCATTTTAACCATATAGAACAAGTGTGAGTGTGACGGCTTATAATTTGCGTCGATGAAGCGGGTTTGATTACTTGCTGCAAGTTGGAAGAGACGATTGTCTTTCGTAGATAATTCAGTGCTTGCGAGAAAAGTCATTGTCATGCTACTCGATGGCACATTGATACTATTCGGTGAGGCATTCTGACTATCCTATAACAAATTTTTTTGTCTGCGTTTTTGTCATCTGTAGTGGTCTGCAGAATGATAAAGGTTGTACCTTGCAACTCACCCAAATAAGGAAGGATATTCAAGTGGACTGGTGGGAATTCTTCGTCAAAAGAGTGTGTTAACTTACAACTTAGTGTAAGGTCCGCGGTGATGTGCTCTTCCATGAGAACATAGTCCTTTGCATTCTTAAAAGCAAATAAGGCTACATTTCCAAATTTTCTCGTGGCCCTCACAATGAAGCACACATAGTTTTGCATTGTGTCGCGTTTACTCTTCCACTACATCGAAAAGAGAGATTGATCGTTCGCGACAAAGTCGTAAATTATAATGGATTTTGCACAGGGCGGATTCTTGTTCTGAAATCAAGTCTCTATCGCATGTGAATAATAGATCAATCGTAATGCAATTGTAATTCCAATTATTCTGAAAGTCACTCCATCTTTGCTTATCATAAACATCACACGCAACTGTCGTCAATGGAATGTTTCATATTTGATAGTTCTGCTATAGAAATCGTAGTCGTACTCTAAGCAAATTCGATCCCCACCTTCTTATTGTTAGTAAAAGGAGACGAAGAGTAATATCTGCATAAATCCTTACTTTCCTGCAACTTCTGTAAAATGCAGTCAGTGATGATCCTTTTAACACTATTTCGAGATGTGAAAGTAAACAAATGCGCGGAGCGAGGCCATTCTGGCCAAGTAATTCCTCTGTGTAATCGTGCATCATTCAATTGACGCATTGTCGTTCAACGAGTATATCAACCCTTTGAACAACATCCTCGCCAATGCAAACGGACAGTCGGTCTCTTAGCGTGTCGCTGCAGTAGTTGCGAAAGGAAAAGATAGGGTACTTATGCGAATCTAGTTGTGACTTTAGCACCAGGTCACCAGTCTAAAAACTATGCCGGAAATAGAACAAGCGGGTTTGCTGCAATGTAGTTCATTTAGAACGAAGGGACCGGTTTCTTATTCATGTAATCAAGGTAAGTTTCTCTTCCTGTTACACGAAGGTGTTGTGAAAAAGATGACGCGAAGGCCGTTAATTTTCATCAGTGAGCATTTGATTAAAGGGCCCGTGCACTTCACTTCTAGGTACATGGTGCTAACGTGAAGGCACTCCAGCTTTAACGATTATGGGTGTTGTTTCAAAGGTCAAATCAAATGAAAAAGTTTTGACGAAGCAGAAATCTCAGACATTATATTCATTCTGTGTTCGTCTGTTTCCGTAATTAGTTCAGAGCCTCATAATTGAATGCAATAGATGTGTGGGCTATGCTTGCCAATATAAAAAAGTTCTCATTTACTGTGACTTACAGAGTTTGCACACATAATTACCCGTGATGAAATGTACCAGTTTGATGAGATAAAACAAGGCATCAAAAGAACACAGACTAAATGACAAAGGACAAAGAGAGATTTCGAACACAATGAGATCGAGAATGTTTGACAAGCAGAGATCGAAGCTTGAAAAAAAATCTGAAGATCAGATAACGGAGCTGCTGATGCGATCAAATGCTCCTCCTCGAGTGTCGAAATCGTCCTGATGGTCGTAACTGTAATATCAAAGTTTAGATTTTTCTATCTATAAAAACCCGTAATCTAAGCAGCACAAAAATTACAAAAGCCACGTAGGTGTGTATGTGATTGGAAACCGAAAGGCAATAAAGGTGAGGATGTTAGTGGAGTGCATGTTGAACACTCAAAAACTAGCCTGTACGTGGTAGCGTTGCCGAAATACTCGCTAAAATTTAGTGTTTAACATGAACGGAATTATCATAAATTGCACTGCTCTATAATTGGTTAAAAACCTCCAAAGTTCGATATGATTCGAACCAACCCTAGTCTTCGTTTGTCTCTTATTAGCGATATCGTCATTGCCACCACCATGGTGAAGTATACGTATAGGGCAAGACCAAGCATGCAGACTACTGTAATCTAAAGTAAAACGATTCACTAACTGAAATAATTCTGATAAAGGAGATCGAGTAAACTAAATAAAAAGTGTGTGGTTTTAAAACATGTTTACATCGTAGAAGCAACCTCAACAACATCTCATTGCGGGTTTTCGACGCATCCATCGGTCGTCAATGCTTCATCAAAGTCAATTAGGAAGAAGAAGAGCAATAAGTAGTCGAGTACGTTGTTGATCACCACAGAAATGAATTTCTTCTTTTATTCTTATAGTCGAATCATTTCATATAGTCATGTGTGTCACTGCACACATTGCCCACCTTTGGCGTCCCCATCCTAGAATCTCAGAGCGGACACGCCTTTAGTGAATGTTTTCAGTGTTTTCTTCACGTTTTCCTTCTGTTTTAGGCACCAGTGTCCCGAAATTGACGGAAGCGATAACAATAGGTCAGTCTCTTGCGCTCTGGGATCGCAGGTTCAGGATGGGGACGCCAACGATAGATGGTGTGTGCAATGCACACATTACCATATAAAATGATTCGACTATACAGGGAATGTTCTTAATGGAAGTGACCATTTTTGTTGGAATGTACGTAGGGTTGTTTATCATCGGACTCCGTTCCGAGTTCTGGAACTGTGCCGACGCTGAGAGAGCGCCGTGCTGACTCGGCGCTAATATAGATTAACTAGCTGGCTTGCCCGGCTCCGCCGGGCCTGCCAGCTAGACCCGTGTACGTATGTTCCGAATAGAAATTTTTATCTCTGAACCGATCGGGACCAAACTTGGCACACATATACATCAGCATGCTCGATTACCCCCCTGTGCAAAATCCTAGCCCCCTAGCTCAAATTTTGCAAAAAATCGGTAAAATCGACATCGATCGATAACGAAAAGTGGGCTGTGACACGCTCCCTGCCCTGAAGTATATGTGTGCCAAGTTTGGTCCCGATCGGTTCAGAAATAAAAATTTGTATTCGGAACATACGTACATACATACAGACAGACATACAGACAGACAGACAAACAGACATTCAGCTTTATATATAAGATACAGGTTATCATTGAGGGCGGGCATATAAGGGGACTCGTTTCCTGCCAGGTATAGCAGTCAATATTCTTGTAAAAACAGCGTTAGCTGTCCCGGCGCTGCGCGGCACAGCTTCGAACTCTGAATGTGCCTAAGCGAACATCACCGGTAGCTGTTAAACGTCCCCCCCTCAGTGAAGAGGATGCAGAAATTTTGGGCGCCTCCTTCGCCCAAAATTTCTGCATAGCTCAGCCAAGTCTCATTCGCATTGCCCATTTAACAACAAGTGGTGAGGGCGCTTGGCTGCTGGATACCGGCTTAAATTTCCTTATGTAAGACTTTCTGCATCTTGATATTTGTTTTATACCAATAGAGAATTTTATATCTACAAACACTTAACAGTGTTTTCGATGATCAGTGGACAGACACGGTTTCACAAGAGTGTATTTTATATGCAGATAAGAAAAGAAACCAAAAGTAGCATGAAAATTATTCTCAGTAGGAACAATGAATGAATAACATTTCTGAACTGTCCCCGTGATTCCAATCTTCTACTGCACTATAAGGGAAAAATGGGTGTGGATCTCAAGTGCACGCGGTTGTGGGTCAAGATATCCGCAGGCTGCCACTAGTAAGAAGGGAAAATCTAAAGCGGGAGCAGGAGACTGGTGATAAATGAGATATAACAAGATTAATACGAAGCGTGTGTAAACTGGAAAGTCAAGTTCGAGTGCCAGTACTCAAAATAAAGCTTCGGGAAAGGTATTCATAATTTTGATTATTTCACAGGGACAGACAACTGATTCGATGGCCCCACTGATCTTGGAAGACCTTCTAAGAATCATATATCGGAAGTGTTTCTTGACATCCTGACGTTACACAACTTCGAACGTCATCTACCAATATATGCTTGTCCATCATTTGCGCTGTATTTGTACGCACCTCTACTCTATCAGGGAACTTTCCGTGGAGCTCTTGGGATTGTAAAAGCACTTGATTGGAAACGTTTTTCGAGTCAACAGATTTGCATGATAACAAACAATTTCTAGTATGTCTCCCTGTGTGTATAGAATGGGCATCACTGTAAATAAATGTGTGGTAGAGGAGACAGACTGTACTATCGCTCTACTGTTTTCCCTCGTGTTAGAGATTGCGCAGAGGGAATTACTTAAAGGAGCCGCTTTGGTCTGTATTGCAGACGCGATCAAAAGGGGCTATCGAATTAATTCTAGCATTGCCCAGCTTCTCCTGAAGTTCTGTTCATTGTGGCTGGCCTTAAAGTTATCAATGGAAATCTCTTCTTGTTGTTTTTTTGGTCCGGTGTAAGTCACGAGCATGCAAGTTGTGTTTACCGGTATAAAATTACAAAAATTTTGTTACCACGACTTGTATGAGTCTCTCTGTCAGAATCTTGAGCGTGCTCCACGATGAGCTCTCACCTATAGGACGCATCAGTTATGTATAAGTTAAAGAATTAGAAGAGAGTTTTGCTTAAGTCAAAAGGTGCCTCTTCTTTCAAAGTGTCGCAGTCTTTCAAACTATACCGTACTTATCAACCGGAAATTTTTTTCATTGATGTTAAAAAGCGACTCCCTGTGTCGTTTTGCAAATTTTGTTGGACCAATTTTTGACGGAGTCAATCCTCGGTCATGTCTAAGTCATAAAAACGGATGCTGGTTGTGATGCTCAAAAAGCATTTATCGTCATCTCCTGTCCAACTGTTCCTTTTCATTCACTCACAGCTTCTCGTCAAATTCTACATAGCGTGCGGAAGGAGGAAACATTGGCAGCTCACAGATTGTGGAAATCTCAGGGCTTGCTCTAATCATGTCCAAGGTTAAAAATGACAAATATTGACAGTGGGTTTGATTATGATTTTTCTGTTTATTAGTCTGTTTTTGTTCAGATCCTTCTGACATGTTAGGAGGGTCTTGATAATTTACCTTACACGTTTACATATTTTTAAGTTCACGTGAAAATTACGTTATTTAGTAACATTTTGACAGCATTCAAAATAGGGCAGCAGAAAATGATGCTTACATGAAACAGCTAACATACTGCAAAGGAGTTGCGCAAGGGAAATCGATCTCATAACTTGTTACCGGGGAACATTCGGCAGCTATGGATAGCTGTTGTCTGCTTAGGATCCCGTGGCGATCTCGATCCCACATACAGTCTGCCCAAATCCCAATCAGGCCAAAATTGGCATGGCCGAAATCCGCGTCGCAGGGTCACGCACACGGCCTGCTTTTCTGCTCTCTCTTCGACCCCTTTGCTCTCTCCGACACAGCACGTATATGCAGCGCAGACCGCTAGCGCTGCCAGAGCGCAAATTTACGCCGACGGTTCGGCCTTATCCCGATTGGAGCTGACTTGCACCCCTCTTCAAACTGCCACTTTGACTAAGAGCACTACCCTTGTTGGATGAGTTCTATGTTGCAATATGACAGATCACTCCGGTAATCCGAACAACATCGATACTTGCGCTGGGACAAGGCTGATGTAGCAGAATTTTCAGTTTGTGATTAGGTATAGAGGCGGTCGAGCACTTGGCGTGAGAATCGAAGAACTGCGCCCTTCTATCGAATTGTTCATATTTATGTAGAGAGGGCCGGTGAAAAAAACTCATCTACATTTCACACTTTTGAGTATGCGACATTGCGAAGCAAAGCAGTCAAGAAGCAAGCATAGGAGCCATAGGAATTCAGCGCAGACAGAGCCGGAACAGAAAAGAGGAATGAGTGAGGTAGCGAGGGTAAACCGGAATTCAAAAAAGGAAACCATTGGACGCTTTGGACCAAATTATGCAGTCTCAGCCAGGCCGATTTGAACGCATGGTCTATGCGCGCTGCCAGCTAATGGCTATAATAAGTTGCTTCCTGTGGCATACTAGCACCACAGCCGCAAGGGACATTCACATTAAGTGAATCGGCGGTAGAATAAAGGTGTATTTGTTATTCATACTACGATCTTGCTAGTAAACCCTAAAGATAAGAGAGAAGATTCTCTACTATCTGGGTCTTTACTATCTACTATCTGAGGCTATCTGAGATTTGTTAGGGCACTTGGTGGCATAGAATTACTACCTTTGTCCTTTGAGGAAAAAGAGTGGTTAAAATTTACCAGTCCTATGTGGCAAATCGACACTGACAAAATATGCCAAGGTTCCAACAAGGGAGAGCAAGAACTACAAATTACCTCTGCGGTTTCTGCAAGCTGATTGAAATCAGTACATTTCTTTCTCTGGAAGCTGCTACAAACGGAAGCTGCATCCCATGTCTAACAAGGGAAGGACCCCAAGTGACCGTTGACTCCCGTGACGAGATCTAAACCAGTATAGTTTCTTCGGTATGCTGAACTCATATCCGTGTTCGGTATCTGCTGTGCCTTTCTGTGTAGGGATTTATAAGCGCATTTTCGCCCTCGAATTCGCACGACCGATGATCAGTGCGAGCTTCGCAGTAGATTCGCTGGCAGCGTATGGCCTAGTGGTTAGTGTGCTAAACCGGTAGGTGATGGCTTTTGGGTTGAGATTTTTTTTGTGCGACATTTTTGCTGATGTACGTAAAGTTTCTTGCGAACATAAAACACAAGCACCTAGTACATTGTGTCTTCCTGTCAGTGTCTTCCTTAATAATAGAGGGAAATAATAAGCGTTGGGCATGTGGATTTCATTGGACACGGTTTTTAGCCATGGTTCGCTGCAGGCTGGATGGCATTGGGTCAATTTGAGTGAGCAAGGAACTTGTAACAAAATGTCCTTTGTACGCTGGGCTCTTTGCGAGCACCTTTATGGTTTCAGTCATTTTGTGATCAAAAATCACATTGGCGCGTAACTCAGATTGTTCTCCTTTTGATATTGTTTGCCCAGATATAATTTTGGAAAATTTTTTGCTATTTCAGTTAAATTCACGTGATTTTACGTACTTCAGCAAAAACATTGCATAGGAAAGGGCTTAGACCCAAAAGCTACCAACTACGCAGTATAGCAACTATGCACTAGGCCTCACTCCCGGGTCTGTGTCTAAGACCTCGCAGTTATCGTCCGCCGTACAAACCCGGGGGGAAAATGCGCTTATAACTCCTTACACCCAAACGCACAGCAGATACCAAATACGGTTATGAATTCAGTGTACCAAAGAACCTACGTTGGTCTGTTAGCGTCTAGAAAAGGCCACGGTCACTTGGGGTCCTTTCCTCGTAGATGAATTTTCCCTCTTTTTCTCTTTTGAACTTTACAAATACAATCAGGAACAGAGAAGTTAATTCTTGGCTTCTACTTAAAGCACGCTACTTTCTTGTTAAAATTCCAAAAAATTCTACGAAAATAAATTAGACTTGCCTGAGTACCATATAACTTCTTAACATCTTCTGAAAACAACAACACTGTCGTAGCGATGCCTATGGCCAGGCAGATGTGGACTACCTGTATTTTCAAATTAAATAAATTCGTCTTATCGTTAGTAAAATGTAAATGACGAATACCGAGTTGAGCAGGAATGGCATCATTAACAAGTGCATGTCAATGAGTACGCCGATTATGAGCAGCATTGATGTGGCTATTTGGAACAACACTAAGCCTGTGATGGGAGCTGAGATCATGGACTGCACTTCCATCGAGAGATTACTCGATGAAGACAGCAAGCAGCAAATTGCTAAAAAAAAATAATTAGGGATTTTGAAGGAAGGTAGGTATATAGTAGACTCACTGACAACCGAGATCGCTATGCTAATCATGCCTATGAAACATGAAGCAACCCGTAACCGACAACAACCCAGACAGTGGTGAAATCTAAATGAGCAGTTTTTTTCAAATTTCACAATAAAAATCAACAACTCACGAATTCATTGAGCTCGTATCACTACACTGTGATTGGTAGCTACTGTAAACGCTAGACGTTCGCGATAGAGCACTGACCTTGAAAGTATACATAGATATGATGGAGAGAAGAGCGAGATGAACTGTTAGATGTACAATGGGTGTCAGGCAAAGAGAAATGAGCCTTTGCTCATTATCAACTTGCAATTTACAAAAACGCGCAGATCATTAGTCGATCTTAGAGTTATGTCCCAACAATTTGTAAGTTTGTTGCAAGTAATTGCTTCGATGTCCAGTTATGCTATTCTAACAGCTGTGCGTCTAATAATGATCCTGAAGTCATTTCAAAGACATACAGGTTCCTCCATTGTTCACTTATCAGGAAAACTAGAATTTTATGTAGAAAATAAGAGTGGAATCTGAAAATAAACTTTTGAGTGATGATTTTTATTCAGTTTCTGGTTATGGTCTCTTTCAATTATACACTGCAAGGAGCACTTTAATGAAACATAAACATTGCACAGTCCTCAACCTCATTCATATTGATGTGGATGTGTATAATTACATAACTCCGCAAAAGCAAACTTGTTTGTGTTTGAGATTTGTTCCTTAGCTGAAAGGATTTTGATCAGAGGTGCGATAGGTGGAGCCGGGCCCCCCAAAAGTGAAGGTGGTTTCAGCTACCACTGGCCGGCCAAAAGTGAAGGTGGTAGTGCCGGACACTCACCTCCCAAAAACGTCGACCGGGGGGGGGCAGAGCATTAACTTCTTTCAGGTCGTTGCCGCCAGTGCGCGGAAAACAAGTAGAACAAATGCAAAAGAAACCATTGAAAGCATATTTTTTGTATACAGCATCATATATCAAATAGTGTATTTGTAAGTGAAACTCAGCGGAACTGTACGTATTTTATTAATTTGATTTTGTTATAACGTACTGCGAAGAAAGTAGATCGACCCAGGCAGTAACGGCCGAGAACCAGAATTTTGAATAATTGAATAGTGAAAAATCATGCAAAAATTCCACTGTCATAAATCTGTTGTTTGAAGATGTCAGCAGTTGCGACTTCGTAGGTTTTGAAGAGTAAATGATGCTCTATCAGCTAGTGAAAAAGTCGAGTGGAATTGAGAGATAGTCGTTGAAAACCAGAATTCTAAAAATCTACGCCATTTTTGCGTGTTTTTTGACAGTTGACAGTCAAACTCATATAAATCTAGAATGTGAAAATGTGTGATGTTGCCACTTCATAGGTTTTGTAGAGCAAGAATTTCTCTATCGGAGTATATCTTAGCCGTACCGATCCATTGAGATACCGCCGAGATCCAGGGTCTTGAAAAAGAAAAGATAAGTAAAAATCCGCTTTTTGAACTTCAACAGCTCATAACTTCTTCAGAATTGCGCGAGTCATGTTGCGACTTCATAGGTTAGATTCTTCTCATCAAGAGCTTTCAGATGATATATAATATGTGGGGTTTCGCGCCTTTCACGGCATATGCCCGGGGGTGGAGACTTTTCACCCCAAAGTCTCCACTGGCGGTCTCCGGCCAATACATTAACATGGGCGAGGTGGAGACTTTGGGGTGAAAAGTCTCCACCCTGGGTTAGAGCCGCAAAAATCTTTGAACCCCCTACATATCATATACCATCTGAAAGCTCTTGATGAGAAGAATCTAACCTATGAAGTCGCAACATGATTCGTGCAATTCTGAAGAAGTTATGGGCTGTTGAAGTTCAAAAAGCGGATTTTTACCTGCTTTTTCAAGACCCTGGATCTCGGCGGTATCTCAATGGATCGGTACGGCTAAGATATACTCCGATAGAGAAATTCTTGCTCTACAAAACCTATGAAGTCACAACATCACACACTTTCACATTCTAGATTTATATGAGTTTGACTGTCAACTGTCACTAAGCAACCTAAAATCGCTTAATTTTTCAAAATTCTCCTTCTCGGCGGTCACTGCTCAAATCGACTCGATTCTTTCGCTGTCTGGTAGAACAACACTTGGTCTTCAAAACCTATGAAGTCGCAATTGCTGACATCTTCAACTACCAGATATATGACAGTGGAAATTTCGCATGATTTTTTGCTATTTTATCATTTGAAATTCTGGTTCTCGGCTGCCTACTGCCTAGATCGACCTACTACATAGATATATGCTCTCAATACTTTCTTTTACTTTCCTTTTGCTTATTTTCCTTCTTTTAAGCTTCAGCAAAAAATTTTTTTCAAACCCAAAAGTGAAGGTGGTCACCCGGTATCAGCTCAAAAGTGAAGGTAGGCGGAGACTCGGCTCCGACTATCGCACCTTTGATTTTGATACTCAAAAAAATTTGAATGCTCAATATGACAGTAGATTAGGAGTTGTTGTTTTGGTCCAATATATTTCTTGCTGACCAGTGCCGTAGCAATCTTGCTTTATCTAGAAATTCACGAGCCTTTTCTCTTCACAAATTTAGATGTGTAGCGTTCGCAAAGGAAAATTTTCCTATTGAACTTTCAGATCTTAACTGTAATTCAAAAGTTTGATGTTTCGATGGCACTGCCCACTGGCAAGTGTGTGCATATGTGTACCATGTCGATATTTCATGCTTTCCTCAGGATTTCTCGAGTAGATAGTTGCTGGACAGCTTGAATAAGAAAGTGCAGAATAAAACAGTTAAATTCCCAAAAATAGTGCTTATCAAGTTCAACGCTTGTATAAGCATATTGGAAGCTCAAACAAACTCATCTCAATATTGTTGCAAGTAGGAGCTGATCTCTCGCTGTATCTAATTTTTACTCGCTCTTGCCGCATATCCCTGCGGCAAAAATTTGAATGCCTAACATTAAATGATGCCGTACATATTTTCGTCTACTTATCATCCATTGTCCATAGATAGGTTGTTTCTAGTGCGGCAAAGGTTATCCTTGTTTGGAACGTCAGACATCTCAAGAATAGCGATGGCATTTTATCTTCACACATCGTCGAGCGTCGTTCCGATGATGGATGCAAAAGTTGGAATTGTGCTGGTTGGATGCCGCACGAATATCAGACACAACATGTTAGAGATCCTACTTCGCAAAGTTTTTTTTGTTCTTTTTTTGCGAGACTTGAAAAAATTTTTTCTTTGCTTGAAGCAACCAATCATTCGGGCAACGACGATATGGAAGATTTACCTCAGATAGCTTTCCGTCGTCAACGATGGGGTTCGAAAGCGTCAGATGTAGTGAAGATGAGCGTCTGACCTAAATATTGAATTTTAGACAAGGATTTAGAATTAGGTGAAAAAAGTGTAAAAAAAAATAAAACGCAACAAAAGGCAACAAAAAGGAGAGACAGCAAGGAAGATTGATTGTGGAGAGCTGACTTTTGCAGATAACTATGCTGAATCGAAACTGTGTCCTTTGTGCCCTGACACGGAAATACAATTGAGATTGAGTGAGGATGGCACATAATTCGTTTTAGAGCATAGAAAAACAATATCGCCCGGAAATGGCATGCGGCAGTCGCCCCTCTGATTGCACGGAAACGCGATTCAACTATGCGCTTGCACTCTTGCTGGGTTTCCTAGTCATAAAAGTCTCTCAGGACGAATAGTAGACAAAGTTCATGCGTGAGATTTACAGCAACCAAATATGGGAATAGAAATCAGCCATAGTTGAAATACTATGCGGTTGATATTAGGGACAAAAGGAATTTCTACACAGATGTTATGGACCATTACCAATGTACAAACATCCTATCTAGGTTGCTCAGAGATTTTTTTTCTTCAATTTCTAGTACTTCCGCTGTAAAAGTATCGTTTCCAGCATAAAAGTTCTATTCAATATTTTACACTTGCCGATTCTGTAAAAACAGTCCTAAGAGTTTTCGAAAGTTCCCAGAAAACTTTAAATATGAATCCGAATATGAAGAGCATGACTTTCACATTTAGTGCTCATTTTGCAAAACCCGCAACTTACTTTATGGATATTAGCGAAAAATACTAGCCATTCATTCACTTTAATTGCTAGGAATTATGTTTGATAGAGAGAAGAATATATGCAATTAACTGTTCAGCAAACTTTTTACGAAATGAGCTAGGATCTGGAGAACAAGTCAAGAACAGTCTGTAGAGTTTCTCGCATGAAAGTGGCAAAAATACTGAAATGCGAACAATTAGTGCCATCATTTTTAACAGAAATAGTTTGGCAAAATGAGAAAGTAAATCGTTCAATAAATATGAGATTGTTCAAATTACTGATATACGATTGGTAAACCTTGAGTCGTTATAAGGAAAGGTACAGTGGAGAAAAATTCAAAAATGAGTTGCACTTCTGTAAAACTTTGCCAGAACTGTACGCCAACGAAAGCGCTATAGGCTTCAGCATGTAAAGATCTCCCTAATTGATAATTCGCGTTTTTACCCACACTATGACACGCTATACAGATTTATAAGTCTACGAAATATAGAGTTCTATTCTATTTTGAGCGATTAGAACCATAGAATAATAATTTGTCAAGACCAGAGGGAACAACTTATCACATCATAGAGATCATAAATTACCATGAATCGTGCAAAAAATGCACTTGTGCACTTTTACAAACGTTGGTGAAATCTGGCGTTTGTTGTGAATATTACCAAAACAGATTAGAACTCTTGTATGGCAGAATCACCGTTTTTATAAGGTGATTAATTAATTACTTCACAAAGAAATGCCCTTCAATTTGAGCTGAAAGTTGAAGCCATGAAGCTTACTGAAAAAAGTTCTCTTGTATTGGAATTTTTATCCCTTCAGTTGCACCTGCGCAGGTACAAAGGCCACAAAGAAGAGATTAACGTAAGATAAAGGGATTCACTGAAAAAGGAAAGTGCACCACACTTTGGTGTTGCTCTGACCATATATTGGCTGTGACAGGCTTCGCACTCAATTGAAATTTTCTTAACATTTTTTCAACAGAAGGTACTATGCTTCCAAGGCTCGCTTCTTGCTCTGTATTAATTACACTGCTTTGATATCCGAAATCGAAAAATTTAAATTGAAAACGAAAGTCAGTTTTGATAACCATGATTTGTGCCCTTCCTAATTAGTATGCCTAAGAAACAGCTCGCAATTTCTTGACATAATGGAGATACTAATATGTAAGTCCTA